TTGGAGGCTGGGCTAATAACCCTTGCTTTTGGTTTCCTCTGCAGAGACAAACTGGCTTGAGAATTTTCCTGAGGATTATTTTCCCGTTTGCTTTGTTCCCAATAAGTATGTTTGCTTTCGGTAGGGCTGGAATAACGCTCAGTTGTAGCTTCATTTAAAAAGCGTGGCTCACGGACATGTTTCTTCTGAATTACCGGCCGTTTTCAATAATGGGGGGTTGTGAAAACCTGGTTCTCCTCAAAATGGAGTTCAAAGGGTGTTTAATCTGGAAGAGCGAACTCTGTCTAGGGAAGCTGCCCCGCTCCTCGCGAGCGGTGGAGGATACAGTGCTGTGTTAGGGGGCTGCGGTTCCTTTCAGGGCTTTGTGAAGGAAACTAGTGTGTCAGAATGGTCACAATATTTAATTTTTATTTTTTTTTTAATCAGAGATTTATGTAACGAAAAGAACTGGATTTACCTCTTGAGACAATTACTCCTGCCAGAACAAGAACCTGGAGAGCTAGTAACTGCCTGTGTTTTCTAAAAGCCCAAATGTAGAATCTTCATCTGAAGACAAATCGAAATTCTTTGTTTCAGGGTCACAAGCGGAGCGGTTACACGCGATGTGACAGCTGCCGACACCAGCAGTACCTGGGGAGATGGTTAAAAGCTGGTTTTACATGACATCGGTGGTCCGTTCAGCTGGCTATGGGAGTGGGTCTCAGACCCCCCCGCTGCCCAAGAGCCCTTCAGCGAGAGCGGGGGACAGGGGGAAACCCTGCATCCTTTATCAGACACCCAGTGCCTGTTTTCAGAGCCCGGTATAAATTCTGTAGCGACATAAATGAATTGTAACTTGAAGGCCATGGCATAATTGAGATAAAGATTGTGGCAGAAAACTGAGAATTAGGTACCAAAAGCACTGGGGAAGATAGGAAGCGCTGCTGGGAGCGGACGATTGACAGGATAATGCGAGGGGTTGTGAAGGAATGTGCTGAATACAGAAGAAAAATCAATGTTAATGGGAGCATATGTGAAATAAATAAGAGCTTTCTCCTTGGCCGATTGGCAATCTTTTGACCTGAGCTGTGCAGCTCGCCCACGCTGCAGCGGAGAAAGCAGAAACAGCCTTGACATCTTCTGCTGAATTTGCCCAACGAGAAAAATCACTGAGTTACGGATGTTTTCCATGTTCAAACCGGAGAATGAAGGGCCCTGGCTGACGGGGCCGCTGCGTCCTGGCTCAATCAGGAGAATGAGCGAGGAGGAGAGATCCCTGAGCAGGTTCTCCTGAAGGTGGAAGGTGGCTGCCACCCGCTTGGCACCCTTCTGTAGCTGAAGGCTGAGTAAATACTACATCCATCTCGCCTGTGGGAGATGGCTCGCCCAAGACGATAAATCAGCCTAGGAGTTGAGTAATAACACATTCCTTTCTTACTTCTTTGCTTGCTTCTCTGCTGATGAAATTTCCTGAGGCAAAGATCAAAAAGCCTTGGAACAAAGAGCCGACTTCCTTAAAAGTTCTGTTGTGTGAGCCGGTAATGGTACTGAAGCTGTGCTGGGTGCCGGCGTGTTGCTCTGGCTGTCCGGCAGCTGCGGTACCCGAGGAGAGCCGAGGTCCCGGGCTTATTTTCTCTACTTTTTGTTCGCAGTGGTAACTGC